TTTTCTGGCCTATTCAGCAACTGTCTTTACATGGTTGTCTGCTGTGTTGAAGGCTGGGATACTAGGATGAGTTTGGGGAAGAAATGTTAGAGGACAAGGTCTTTGTGATTCTTTGGGGATGGGGTCAGAGAGGAAAGGGAGACCACAGCAGGTTTTCAACTACAGAGTTGAGGTGAGACTGGGGGGATTTCATCTCAGGAGCAATAGGAGAGGCGTGGGTCTGCCTTCAACCTACTTGGTATCTTGGGAGGAGGGACCCTTGGAATAGCAGAGAGTGCCTGCTGAAGTTGGGGACTGGGATAAAGCAACAACTGGGGGGAGGGAGATTTGGAAGGGATAGACTATGGGATCCACAGGATATGTTGGCAATGTGAGGAGGGAAACTGTAGTTGGGTGTTCTGCGGCAGTGCTAGGGACAGAGACTGGGTAATTGGATTTCGGGGGACAGAGAAAGAGGAGAAGGTCTGTGAACAGCCTACATAGTTTTGTGGCCTGTGCAACTTATTATAAGAACTATAGCCAATTTTCTTACTTAATCAATCAGTCCATTTGTTACAATTCATCCACATCTCTCTCTGGGCTGTCCTTGGAATTCTGTTGGAGTTCAAGTAAAGGTACCAAGAACTGCATTATGTAAGCAGGGAGGTGCCAGGCCATTCAGGAACTAAAGAAGAAATCAAGTGCTCACCTGTCCCCTAAGCTGTCTGTGTGAAGCTCTGGAGCCCAGGCCTGGGAGCGGTTCTAGACCAGAAGGTTCTAGACCTGCCAGAAGGGACATTTTAAAGGTATTTTGGGAAAGACTTGGAAAGACCGTATCAGATAGTGAAGAACTTCTGAGGGTTCCTTCATATGTAGTTGGTTTTTATACTGTTTGGGGGCTTGTCACCCAACTCCCAAACAAAAACACAGAGACTTATTCTTACTTATAAAATGACTGGCCTTAGCATGGCTTGTTTCTAGCCTGCTTTTCTAACTTAAATTATTCTATTTCTCTTTAACTGTGTTTTGCTTCTGGGTGTTTTGCCTTTCTTTATTCTACATATCCTTCTTTCCTTCCTTCTCCCTAGCTGGCTGTGTAGCTGGGTGACCAGCTCCTGGCATCCTCTCTTCTTGGTTCCTGGCATCCTTCTCTCCTTTTCATTTTCTTGCTCCTTGCTCTCTTCCCTAGATTTCACCTATTTCTTCTCTCTGCCTGCCAGCCCCACCTGTTTTTCTCTTCTGCCTAGCTATTGCTCATTCATCTCTTTATTAGACCAATCAGAGCAGCTTTACAGAGTTAAACAAATTCAACATAAAAAGAATGTCATTAAACAAGTAGTCTACAGCGTATGAATGTAACACATCTTAAACTAATATTCTACAGCATTCAGGTGTCAGTAAGGTACTTGTTCAGGAAATAGGAGAACATGATGGCCACAGTTTGGAACTTGTCAGTAGGGATTATATGTCTGAAAGCCTTGATAATGAGAAAGGAAATGCAGGGGAACTTCTTCACAAAGCATGTGACCTGCTCCCTGCTCGACTTCTCATTATATAGCATGATCTGTTATTTCTGTGAGTTGAGCAGCATTGGGTATGAGAGTTCATGCTCTGATAAAGCTGGTGATACTATCGTTCACCAGCAAGTTGCGCAGGTATCAACCTAGCAGCTGCTAGAACCAATACATAGAAGTTGCTGAGGATGGAGACTTGACTGCAATGTCAATTATGGAGGATGGGGAGGCAAGATGGGATCCATCACCCTTCATCTCCAGGATGCAATAACAGTGCTTAATATTGTGTTCACTTGAATGGCATGCTAGTGAAGATGATGCTAAACTTTTAAACCTTCTCACAAATATAATTACCGAATATCCCACCAACACAAAGGGCTTTGAGGCTATTTGAATTGAGACCAGATTAGCCCATAATGCAAGACACTTCTAGGAGACTGATTATACATCCAGGTTCTTTGTTGTCATTGAGTTCCACTTGTTCTGAAAGCCACAGTGGGTCTGAAGCATGGAGCATTTTTAATATTCATGTGTAAGTAAAAGCTTATAGTATCTATTTCTGTGTTTGGCTTATTTAGGGTGTTATATACGCAAAGCTGATTGGTTGTACTACAAATGACAGAATTGCTTTTATTTTTATGACTAAGAAATATTCTGTTGTGTACCCATGCCACATTTTCTTTATCCATTCTTACATCCTTGATAACTTAGCTGATTCTATATCTTGGCTATAGTGAATACTGCTGTGATATACACAGGCAAGCAGGAATACTTCAAAGTTCTGATTTATGTATTTCATCATGTATATACAATAATGTGAGTGTCAGGATAGATAGAAGGGTATTTTAATGATTCTAAGGAGGCTCTAATTTATTTTCAACAATGTTGGTATGAATTTGCATTCTTGCCATTAATTTGCAAGGATTCCATTTTACATATCTCATCATCATTTATTTTTTATGTTTCTTCTACTAGATTCAGAAAGAAATGAGGTATAATTATTTATTATTAGTGTGTGTGTGTGTGTGTGTGTGTGTGTGTGTGCATGGGTGCAAGGAGGTGTTTGGAGGTCATAGAATGACTATAGGGAGTTTTGAACCTTTCTTTTCACTCTAAATTACAGAGATAAATTTAGGTCATTAGGCAACTGTCTCCAAGAGTTTTTACCCACTGAGCCATTTCACCAGCTCTCAATCCCCTCAATTTTGTTAAAGCATGATTTGTGTCTCATCATATGATCTACATTGGAGGATTTCTCTTGTGAAGTTTTGTTAAGCCACATGGTTTTTGCATATTTAGTTACGTACTTAATTGTGAAGAAATATTTTAAATCATATAAGAGATTGCTTTTAATTTAAAATGTTATTTATTTCTCAGTCTCATATCTACCATTTATTGCACATATGAATATTGTATTCTGATGACCCACACCCACTCAACCCTCTTTCCTCCACTCCAAGCTGTCTAAGGCTCCTCGCAACACCACAACCTCCTCTTTGTTCTCTGTAACCCAATGATTCCATTTAGAACTGCACAAATGGGCACAGGTATAGGACCATTAACTGAAGCATGGGTAGCCTGCAAAGGGGCATATTCCTTTCCCAACAACCATCAAATGTCAATTGCACTCAACTAGGAATGAGAACTTAGGATCCCTTCTTCCATCCAAATTGGAATGTTGATTGGCTTGATCTTGTGCTGGCAATCACAGCTACCTCAATTTCAAGAGCACAACATCCCTGTTTTGTCCAGAAGACCATGCTTTGCAGAAGCCCTCAATGACCTCAAGCACTTACAATCTCCCCTTTCCCTTTTCTGTCTTGCTCCCTAAGCCTTGACAGAGAGAGTAGACAAAATTTCCCATTTGGGACTGGGACACTTCTCTGTACCTTGACAGATTGTGAGTCTCTCTAATATGCCTATAAGTGCAATAAAAACACTACACTATGTGCACAGACTCATGCACAGATGTACAAATATACATACAACTTAAAGTAAAGTTGGAACTTTTTTAAATAAGATTTTCTGATGAGGGTTAAGAGACGCATTGCTCTATGAGTCTAAAAAAAGAAAATAAATATTTAGAAGGTAGTTTAATGCTATGTCTACTAAGTAAAATCACAGAAGAGTTTCAATAAGGGCATGTGACCACCCGGACTGTGGGTTCTTGGTGAGATTTACAGTTTCTCTGAGGTTTCCCCTGCAGAGCAGCCGCTAAATTTCATCATAAAGCTATTGGTTACTTCCATAACATTTATACAACTCTTGGACCAAAGGACGTAGTTTGACAGAATGCTGGTTATTACAGCTCATGAGGTCCACAGCTTTTATTTTTTTTCAATAAATGCCCTGAAGATTGAACTAAGGGACTAATGCTTGCATTGCAATGCTTTATCAGCTGAATTATCTTCCCACCTGCCCTAAAACAAAAGTCATAACATTTTTATCTTTCTACAATGCCAGAATTTATTGAAAAATAATAAATTCACAGGGTATAGTGAGTTCAATGACAGAAATTTGTCATGAAATCTTCCTAGCTTGGCAGTTTGGCCTATGTGAATGCAAATTCTTTATTCCAATTTTAATTTCCAATATTAATTCTCATATAGAACATGACACAGCACACAGTAAATATATCCATATTTTTCTATACATGTTAATGGGTTATACAATAGTTATACGTTTTAAAAAAATGAAAGAGTTTAATTCTCCTTGCCCCAAGAAAGTGATGAGCATCTATCATTGTGATGGCCAGACTCTATACCAAACTCCCATCTGATGACAGGTATGTGCATCAAGCAAGGAGGACTCCTCAGCTCTGTCCCCGGATGTTTACCTGGTGTACTCCACTGTCTCCTCATCCATCTTTTCATCTTTCAGAACCTTTACTTGATTCTGTTTCCCATTTCCTGATTGGACCAGTCTGGGCTATTCACATGGCAGCTGAAAGTATATGTGAAGTATATTTCTCCAACCTGACCTCCTCCAGAAGCTCTCTCCTGGCACTGGTCTGGCATATTGTCTGATCAAAGAAAATTCTTAGTCCACTTATAAAACAGCAAAAATTTTTATCATAATCACATCAAATAGTTTATGCCCACAATGAGGTAAAACTAAAACTCAACTACAAGAGGAGCTAGTTGAGTGTTTATATGATACGTGTGTGTTATCCAAGTGTGTACATATGTGTGCATACACATAAAAGTCAAAGATTGACACTGAACATCTTCCTCAATCATGTTCCACTTTATTACTGAGGCAGTCTCCTAATCAACCCAGAGCTCATGGATCTGACAAGTCTATCTCCCTGTCTCTGTCCCCTGGGTGTCAGTATTGTAAGTGGGCCACCGAGCCCCCTGGCTCCTTTGTGGGTGCTAGGGCTCAGCATGCCATTGCTCACACTTGCACAAGTGCTTTCTCCACTAACCCGTATCCTCAGCCAAGGAACGTTTTTAAACAGTGCAAATATATCAAAATTATATAGCATGCTTCTGGACAAACAACACATAAATACAAGGTTTTTTAATGGAAAATAAAATTTTCCTGAAACAAAAGAAAAGAGAACAGCATAACAGAGACTGGGGAAAGGGTCTGGAATGCTGGCTCATTAGTTAAGAACATTGCTGCTCTTGCAGAGGGCCAAGGCTCTTCTCAACACCCAAATCGTGGGTTTACAATCATCTCTGATTCCAGTTCCAAGGCATCTAAATGTCATCTTCTGGCTTCCATGGGCACCGTGCATCAACGGAATCAAAGACAAAAGCAACAACAAAAAATAACAAATGATCATCTTTAATGGAGACAGAAAAAAATATTTCATAAAATTCAGCATCCCCTCATGCTAAAGCTCTGAGTAAATTACATTAAGAGCTACAAATTTGCTTCCCAGAAATACTTTAAATAGACCCCAAAGTTTATTATGTTTTAATCTAGTTCTTGAGATTTATTTCTTTTTTAAAAATTTCTTCTTTGAGCTACATGATATCTACTAATGACTCTGTTCAGTCTCCATGGACTTTTGTACCAACCAGAAATGTTTGTGGATTTGAGTTTTATGTTAAGTTTCACTGTATTGTGGTCAAATTGGGTATATGGAGTTATTTCAATTTTCAGAATTTGTTAAGACCCAGCATGTGAACTATTTTAGAGAAGCTTCCTTCAGCTGCTGAGGTGTTTGGTGTTTGGGCTCAATATCCTGTAGATATATCTGTAAGGTCCATTTGATGGATGTCATTTTATCATGTTTCCCTGTTTATTTTGTCAAGATTTGTGTGTCTGCTGGAGAAAGAGGGGTATTAAAACTACCTTTCATTACTGGGTCAGTGTTGATCTTTGTCTTTAACGCCAGTGGTATCTGTTTTTATGAAACTGGTTGCACCACTGTACAAATATGCATGTTTGTTGTGGGACAATTATTCACACTGACACTCCGGGACTGACAATAAAGTGTAACCTTGAATAAGATAGCAGTTAGCAACTGGCTGACCGAAATTGGCCATAGAGGTTTTGGAGGACCCAGGATAGATAAATAGAGAGAGACACGGGAAATAGTAGAGGTGAACTTAGAAAGATTCCCGGGCCCTTTTGAATTGGGGAAGGAGAGAGAGGGGAGGTCACTGTTCACTTCTCCACTGCTTTTCCCGATCAATCAGGCTCTTACCCTGATATTCGGCTCCCAAGTTTTTGTTGATATTAGAGTAACTTGGCCGGGCAATTGTGGTGCACGCTTTAATCCCAGCACTCGGGAGGCAGGAGGCTCTCTATGAGTTAGAGGCCAGCCTGGTCTACAGAGTGAGTTCCAGACAGCCAGAGATAACACAGCGAAACCCTGTCTCGAAGAAAAAAAAGAAAGAAAGAATAATTTGGTGAACTGACATCCAAGACGTGGTACTAGACACGAGATCACGAGGCAGCTGCTCACCACTGGCTTTGCAGCGGATGGAGTCCCCGCTCACGGTCAGCCCTTTCTCAGGAGTTTCTCCTGCCCATCTTTCTGCATCGACTCTTCAAGCAGCTCACTCCCTCCCTCCACAAGTTGCAGGCTTTTCCTGGACCCCCACGCTTAGCCAGACTCAAAGGACAAGGGAATCCTGTGATGACATCAGCCCCGAGGAAACTGACAGAGGGGAAGGGCTCAGGCAGCTAAACTGGAGAGCTTCTCTGAAATCAGGCAAGTAGAGAAAGTAAGCCACCCCCATTCACTGTAATCATGGGGCCCAAGGAAAGCTAACTTGAACTCAGATCAGGGTGAAAAAAATGGCCTGCTCAGCCCAAAAGGGCCATTAGGTCAATTAGCCAATGATGTTTTTCAGGACATTTCTGAGAATCTGGTTTTCCAGCTTTTTTTCTCCATTGAAAGATGGAAGATGTTAGTAGTGAGTTTCTCTATTCTGAAAGTCTGCTGCTTTGACTTCTAATATTTACTTTGAACACATTGGAGTTGTTTGATTCTTTTTATTTATTGAGTAACCTGAAAGAGGTAACCTGAATTTGACTGATTACTAAGTACACATCTGATGGAGAACTAATATCTCAAACATGAAGAACTTAAGGAACTGGACATGAAGAAAACAAGTAACCCAAGCAAAAATCAGGTACGAACCTAAACAAAGATGCCTCAAAAGATGAAATTCAAATGGCGGAGAAACACATAAAGAAATGTTCAATATTCATAGTCATCGGGGAATGGGAAGCTAAACAACTTTGTGATTTCATCTTACACAAGTCAAAATGACCAAGATGAATGAAACAGAGGACAGTCCATGCTGGTGATGATTTATATTTAGAGTAACACTCAACCACTGCTGGCAGGAACGCAAACTTGTACAGTCACTACAGAGATCAGTGTGGCGCTACTTAAGAATGTGGAAACTGATCTATCTCCAGACCCAGCTCTACCATCCTTGGGCATACACCCAAAGGATGTTTCCTCCTGCCACAGAGACATGTACTCAACCATATTCATTGCTGCTCTGTTCAGAATACCAGGAATTGGGAACAACCTAGATGTCCCTCAACAGAAGACTGGATAAGGATAATGTGGTGTGTATTTAAACAGTGGAGTTATTCAGCAATTAAAATCATGAGATTTCCAGGTAAATGGACAGAACTAGAGAAAAATCACCCTAGATGAGGTAATGATAAACATGGAACTGTATCCACTTATTTGTTAGCTGTTAAGTCTTTGATAAGCAGTTCATGTAACCACAGAGGTTAGCAATAGAATAAGGGACTAGGGAGGGGGAAGCATCTCCCAAGGAAGACAAAACAGATTAGATAAATTAGTTTGGTGCTTTGAAAGAAAATGGTCCCCACAGAGAGTGACGCTCTTAAGAGGTGTGACTTTACTGGAGAGACTGTAAGGTTGTGAGATCCAGTGGGGACGGAGGACATCAGGGAAACAAGGCCTTCTGGACACAACAGGACAAACACACAACACACGCATGACATCACAGAAACTGTGGCAGCATACTCAGGGACTGCACAGATCTAAGCCAGATGGGATCCCAGTCTGACAGGGAAAATGAATGCAAGCTCCATTACAAACATAGAAGCTATCTCCAAAGGATAACCATAAACAAAGGAAAAATTAGTTTTCTCCAGTGGAGTCTCACTAGGCACACAAACTGCACTCAAGAGAGGCCCCATGCCCAGCACTAGATGGACAATAGAAAACAAATTCAATGAGTTTTTTTTATTTTGAAGTTCTTTATCTGGAAAATTTATTTTCTCTATAAATCTTTTGCTTATATGTTACGATTTCCAATTTTGTTTTTATGGGTTTACTGCATATGCAAATTTGTTGTGTGTATATCTGTATGTGTTTCTTGTGCTTCTTCTTTGGCTACTTCATTTTCCTGTTTGTTTTATTTTACCTTTTTATTCTTTTATTAAAAATAGATTCTTTTGTTGATTTTGTTTAGTTATACATTTTTCCTTCCGATTTTCTTTTACAATACATTCAATTGTAGTTTTCCCTCCCTCTACTCCTTTTTCCTTCTGATCTCCCCTGCCCTCCACATCCATTCCCTTTCAGTCTCTCATTACAAAAGAACAGGCAAAATTCAAAAAGTCATTATTTTTTTCTGCTGTGTAGTACTCCATTGTGTAAATGTACCACATTTTCCTTATCCATTCTTCAGACAACGGACATTTAGGTTGTTTCCAGGTTCGGGCTATGACAAACAATGCTGCTATAAACATAGCTGAGCACATGTCCTTGTGGCATGATTGAGCAACCTTTGGATATATACCCAAAAGTGGGATTGCTGGGTCTTGAGGAAGGTTGTTTCCTAATTTTCTGAGAAATCGTCATACTGATAACCAAATGGGAAATTTGCAGGCTAATGGATGGAGCTAGAAAACATCATATTGAGTGAGGTAACCCAGACACGTATCATATTACTCACTCATAAGTGTTTTTTAAACATAAAGCAAAGAAAACCAGCCTACAAATCACAATCCCAGAGAATCTAGACAACAATAAGAACCCTAAGGGAGACATACATGGATCTAATCTACATGGGAAGTAGAAAAACACAAGATCTCCTGAGTAAATTAGAAGCTTGGGGACCATGGGAGAGGGTTGAAGGGGAGAGAAGAGGCAGAGAGGGGAGCAGAGAAAAACATATAGCTCAATAAAATAAAGTAAAATAAAAACGTAATAAAAATTGAAAAAGAAAAGAACAGGCTTCTAAAAGTAACAATCAAACATGACATAATAAAATATAGTAAGATGAAGCAAAAACTATCATATCAAAGTTGAACACAGCAACCCACAGGAGGAAAAGAGTCCCAAGAGCGGGAACAAGAGTCAGAGACCCACTCTTTCTCACAGTCGAGAGTCCTGTAACAACACTGGGATAGAGGTTACAAGTATGTATGAGAGGTCCTGGCTCGAACTGATGAAGATCCTGCACTCACTGATTCGGAATTGGTATATGTTGTCCTGCATCCCCTCCTGCTCTTGCTATATTTCCACCTCCCCTACATCAGGATTGCATGAGCTCTGAGTGAAGGGATTTGGTGAAGACCTTCAGTTTCGACTCTTCACATCATGTTTGGATGTGGGTCTCTGAATCTGTTTTCATCTGCTGTCAGAGTGGGGGGAAACTATCTGATGCTGACTGGATAAGCTACTGATCTATAAGTATAACAGAACATCATTAGGAGTCAGTTAAATAATTTTGGTTTTTGACCAGTAATATTTGATTTTAACCTAGGCTTCTTTCTGGGCTATCTATTCTGGTTCTTGGTTACCCAAGCAATGTTGGGTATGGGTTCCTTCTTGTGGAGCAGGCCTTAAGTCAAATCAGACATTGGTGGTCCAGTCCCCAAGTTCTGTTCCATCATTGCTGTAGCATATTTACAGGCAGGACAGATTGTGGATCGAAAGATTAGTGCTAGGGTGAAGCCCCCATTTCTCTTTCAGTATCTTACTTTATTATCACTTCATAGATGCTTGTTTGGATTCTAATGAGAGAGAAAGAATGTGGATTTGTACAGTCGAGAAAGCAAGTAGGATCTGGAAGGAGTTGGGGTAGAGAAAGTATAACTAGAATACATTCTTTGAGGAAAAACTACTTTTAAAAATGAAAGATACGGTGATAATTTCCATTGAGAAAAAGTGATATGCTAAGAAAAAAAGGTGTATACTTTTGCTTATGGTCAGTGGATTATTTCCAAGTCTTCATTTAAGAAGAAAATATGGTCATAGACTCAGTTGCACTACCTTTAACAGGAAATTTGATTCCAGAATCGAGCCTTTGTTGTAAAAGTACAACAAAAATGTTCTAACTTTTCTATTTTCAATTAAGAATATAAAATTATGTCAAAACACTCCTCCACTGTTCTTAAAGAATCTATGCTATATGACTTAATAGTCTGTGAAATCTCCCTTTCTAAAACCTGTTCAGACAAAAAATATAGGAACCTTTGCACTGTAGTCTGAGGCCATTGAACCTCTACAGTTTTGTTAGCACATTTCTACTAGGTGTTCCTACTGAATGTTCCAGATGGCCTTGTTCATCTTCCTAGTCCTTTATCACCCAGAAGACTGCTGCTGTGCTGGTGTAGGGTCCTGAGTCGGCCTGACCCAGAGTCAGTGAGCTTGAAACAGAAGCAACTGCAGGCATTTTCTATCTAAATGGGAATCGGATACAAGGCAAGAACCAGGCGGGAGGCCAGATAGGGCAGGTGTGCTGAGAAAAAGAAAAAGAAACAAGATAGTCTGTACTTGCCATTCAGTATTCAGGAGAGTTAGGGTGTAGGGAAGCTTAGGGCTGGGGTCTGCTGTTGCCAGAACTTGGAAGATGAGACTAAGATGCCTAGAAAAGATGAGAAAGAGGATGAAGTGAAGACAGATGTAGCAAATGGAGCAGCAGGCTGCATTCCCACTGCCCAACTCACAGCTAGCTTTACCCAAAATAATTACACGGAAACTATATTCTTTTAAACACTGCCTGGCTCATTGTCTTCAGCCCCTTATTATCTAACCCTCACTTATTAATTAACCCATTTCCAATAATCTGTGTAGCACCACGAGGTGGTGGCTTACCAAGAGAATTCTAACCCACATCTATCTTAGGCAGGAGAAGCATGGCGACTGCCTGACTCTGCTTTCTTTCTCCCAGCATTCTGTTCTGTCTACTCCGCCTATGTAAGCTGCTGTCCTATCAAAGGCCAAGGCAGTCTTTTTATTAACCAATGAAAGGAACACATAGACAGATGACCCTCCTACATCAGACAGAGGGAGAATAAGAGGGGAGAAGCTGCATCATCAGGAGGAGGAGTTTCCTGTTAGCTGGCTCAAGGAACACCATAGAAGAGGGAGGGTTGTAATAGTCATAGGGAAAGGACATCTGCTGTAAGCCTGTGTCTCCTGTATAACAGGGAACCTGAATTCAGGCAACCTGACAATATGGCTGCCTAAACACCATCTCTAGATCACAAGCTCAAGCAAATAATGATGATTGAGAGAAAGAGGATAAATTTTCCCTAGCGATGAGGCCCTCATTGGTTATCTAATACCAAGTCTTCCACCCTAAGATTATATACATATGAGCAAAACTAAATGGACTCAGTAGGCGGCATCAATATATTTATTTGTTCATATGTGTGTTATGTATGCATATGTATCTATATGTGTACAAAAATAATAAAGATAAAGAGGGCATGAATTTTAGAGGGAGACAGAAAGACATGGGAGGAGTTGCAGGGTGGGAGACAAAAGATGCAAATGCTGCACATATATGCAAAATTTAAAAATACAAATATGATTAAACATGACAGCAAGAATATATACCTGAGGTTTGCTGCAAAGGGAGGCTGCTTTGCAGCATGTTCATCTCGCCTGTACAATGTGCACTAACTTCTCCTCAGAAGCTTGTATTTGGTGCCTGACCTCATCTATCTCTGAAATTACAGGACAGAAGCTACTACTTCAACTGCTAAATTCTCCTGTAATCAGCAGGGCCCAGAGTCTGAGGAAGGAAATAAACAGATACCTACAGAGGGTTATTTGAATTTTCTTGTAAACTTTGCTTCAACTTCCTCGCCTTCAACTTGTTTTCAAGAGAGTCCCGTGCATAGACAGCGTTCTCAGAGCTGTGAACCAGTTAACAAGCCTACATCATCAAGATGTGGTCCTTTGATCACAAGGCTGTAAGGGAGAGGAGTGAACAGGCTTTACTCTGCGCCTGCGCACTGAACACAGACTGTGCCTGTTGATGAGGTCAAGTTCATGAGAACTAGTAAGCACAGGTACTCACACTGGTAGCCATGGACTTGCATTTGCGCATGTGCACTTAGGTGGATTTGCATGTGCGCAGCTGCACATCTTCGCGGGCAAAGGTGTAACGGCTTCGAATTGCCAGAACATTGTTCGTTAAGGAACGTGGCTTTGCAACAGTCATTTCGTCAAACATGTCGGCAACCGATAAGGCTCTCAACTCTTGAGCTCTGTACCCTGATGTTGAGGGGGCAACAGCTGGCTTTATAATGACAATATGAAGACCTGTATGTTCAGCTCATTATAATGTCGACATCAGGGTATGGAAGACTGTGCTCATTAAGTTCAACACGGCGGGGGCGGGGGGGGGGGCTATAAGGTCTGATTGCCCTAAGAGTAGGGCACAGGATAGGGCGCCTAAGCACGTCCCATGCAGTCTGAGTAGAAGGCTTCTGTGGAAGGGGTTCTTGAGGTTCTTGACTTTAGAGGATTTTAAACTTTATAAGACTTTAAACTTTATCTTTCCTCCCATACAGGGCGTTAAGAGAAGATATGAGATCCCTTTGGAGTTCTTTAAAGGCGGGAAGACAGGGAGCTTCATGTCCTTTTGGCCTGGATGTTTCTCTAGCTATGCCTCGGACAATCCTGAAAATGGGATGCAAACAGTTCTCAGAGTCAGAGACAAAGGGCTACAGTTTCTCAGTGTGGGCGCTTACAGTGTGGATCACACATATGTTTTAAACAGGTAAGAGGCCTTCAAGCAGGATCAAGGACTGGGAAGGGAACCAGTTACACGTAGGAGGACACTTTAATACTGTTCCTCATGTTGTGGTGACCCCAACCATAAAATTACTTTTGATGTTACTTCCTAACCGTAATTTTGATACTGTTACGAATAGTAATGTAAACATCTGCGTTTCTCCATGGTCTCAGGGGAACCCTGTGAAAGGTCGGTCAACCCCCTCCCAAGTGATTGTAACACTCAGGTTGAGAACCATAGATGTAGATTATCTTGACAAAATGGAAAGTACCCTGATATTAGGTGTCTTAAGTCTCCTCATTCTGAGATAGTGTTTCTCTTGGGCACGTAAGTTAGGCTTCCACAACTCAAGGTTTATACTTTAGTTCACCAAATTGGCCATGAAAATTTCACCACTTAAAATATGCACAGAAATATGTAACACAATATATAATTTTCTTTTCAGTCTTGAGCTAATTAGAATCCCAAATGAAAACCACTGTGTAGTTCACCTATGGGCCTATTACCAATGCTACAGATATCAGAATTTTGACATCTTGGACTTAGGGAACCTTTTAGATTGTTGGGCCCTCAGAGTAAGATGGATAAAATTTTCCCAGAGGAAAGTAACAAGATTTTACCTCAAACTATGTATTTTAAGACTTAGACGTCTAACAATGAGGACCCTAAGAGAGACATACATAGATCTAATCTACATGGGAAGTAGAAAAAGACAAGATCTCCTAAGTAAATTAGGAGCGTGGGGACCTTGGGAGAGGGGAGGGAAGAGGCAGGGAGGGGAGCAGAGAAAATGTAGAGCTCAATAAAAATCAATAAAAAAGACTCAAAGAATTCAAAAAATAAAATTCCATTCAATGAATGGCTGTTATACTTAGAATGAAATGGAGCATGATCTTCAAAGATAAAGATCTTAAAGCTTCAGAAAGAGAAGCTGGTGTGCAATTCAGTGGTAAAACACATGCCTAGTACATTCAGGTCACTGGGTGTGATTCCCAACATCACCATAAATATCTTCACCCTGAGATGAAATTTGCTCATCCATTCTTACTTCTTCTTTTTGCTTGCTCCTTGGCAGGTGGAGTTGAGTCAAATGCTTCCATTCCAAAACTGCTGCAACAGAACAATGAACTCTAGACATATGTAAAATACAAGAGTTGTAATTATTTTGTACCTGAACTTAGTATTAATTAGCATTTTAGTGTGTATAATTACACTTCTGCTTTGCAGTTTTAGCATACAGGATTATGCTTGACTCGTGCATCTTTAAGAGGTGATCAGTGCCTTGTTTCAATAGAAGCTCCACAATATCTTCTGAATTCACTTAACTCCATATATGAGGATTGTTCTTGAATGACAGAAAAAAATATTAAATGATTTCAACTGTTAAGTGAATACATTTTATGTGCTAAATGACTACCAATGTGTGTAGAGTTGTCATCTATTAACAGACTTAGGTATCTTAAAAGCACAGAGTTCAAATGTGTAAATTATCTTCAATGCTAAAAAGACAAAAGAAACAAAAAACTCTTTGGCCCACTGTTGTACTTTACATAGTAGAGTTCTATTTGAATTTGTTTATGCTGAATAACTGTGGAGACCATTTACAAGAAGGATAGAAAGATTTATGTGAAGAATGCCATTTTCTTTCAAGTCTAATGTAATATAATTCACTGTCGACTAAGGAATTTCTGTTTGCCTACAACAAAAGTAGTAATGTTATAAAATAATGTTGGTGGTAAAAAAAATACATAGTGCTTTCAGTTACTGATGCTAATAGACATTGAACTGCATGCCACGTGAGTAAGTTTACAATGGCCATTCAAGTAGTGTTTCTGTCTCTGCGTTCCACAAAAACACATTTGGACATTAAAGAGTTGCATGACTGAAAACTTGAAAACTTTGGAACTAACACTGTCTTGCTGTCTTGGGTAACTAAGGCCTCTCTACCACCCACCACCATATTTTAGGTAAAGTTTTTTTTTTATTGCTTATCGCAGGTATGAATGTTTGTCCCACAAGTTATTGAATATTTGGCAGTGAAGTTTCCTTTCACAGAGAGCTGATGGGTGCAAATGCATTCTGTAAGGATATCAATGAATAATTCACAATTCAACATACTGAACTGGAAATCAGATAGCTAGCCCCATGAACATGATGTTTACCACAGACTAGAGAACAGTCGTTTTTTTTTTCCTTCTCAGCCTTGTAATGGTCCAGCCCTGCCTGCTGCTGTCATAAGACTTCTAGTCCTCTCCAAAATGGATGTGAAACATTTTGGTCTCATAAGCTTTTGCTTCCTGTCACAGCATTATCATGGCATTTTGGAGTCATGTTACTGTTCCCTTCTAATGAAAATTTCTGGAGAGTTTATCTCAAGAGGCCCAACCAACACAGCAGTAATAAAGATTTTCGATCCTTTGTTACATGGATAAGTAAAATTTTCTTCTCTCTGTCAGAAGTTCTTCCACATTGCAAAAAACATTTGTGTGCCAAATGCACCATTTCCCAAAAGAAAAATTCTACTAAGAATTGTGACAAAATTGTGAAATTTCCTGAAGCTCACTGTGTAGACCAGTCTTGCCTCGAGATCCTCCTACTGACTCCAGAATGCTGAGATTAAAGGTGTCCTGCCTTCGAAAGTATTTTCTAAAGTACCCTTGCACAAATCTTCTGAGGGGAAAACAATGGTAACATTTAAGAGACACGGTTATCAGAGACTAGAGATGACATGGAAGTTTCTTGAGGACACGGAGGAAGCTTTGCTTGATTCTGTGTTGAGGAAGGACCCAGGGAAACAGTGTCAGGTTCCTGCTCCAAACAGGAATTTCACCAAAGAAATGGATTCAAAGTGAGTGAGACCTCAGGGAAACTTTGATTGCTTACCTTAAAATAGATTCTGTCCATTTATAAGGTGAAAGCTGTCTAAGAATTTAGAAAGCTCAATACATGATTTTTAAAACTTTTTAAACTGTTTTATAAGTTCTTGCATGAGTACTATATTTACATAATTTCTACCCCATCACTTCTTCAACTCCTCCTTTGTCCCATTCCCTCTCAAACTCATGACCTCTTCTTTATTACTGTCACACACACTTGTGTATCTCAAAAGGTTGTACAACCTACTTATTCCATTTTATACTGCTCCTCTCTGTGTATTGCCGTTCATTTCTGCCTGTGTGCATGCCTGCATGCGTGCATGTGTGTGTTTATGTCTCAACATTGGGATTGGATAACCTATCAGAGTTTTTCCTTGAAGAAAAATAAACTCTTCTCTCATCAACCATGCATAGTGGGCAACTCTTCATTTATGGGTGGAGCTTGTATAGTTTCTCCTGTCAGTGTTTACATTAAGGATGTCTGAAGACTAACTCTCATAGAAAGTGAGAGGGTACTATGCGAGTTGCCCAGTGAGTAAATTAATCTTCAGACATCCTAAATTTACATCAAAAGTACCAGAAATAAGAGTAGTAGTCTCAAACACTTGCACAGCGAGGCAGGTGCACTGAAGAGCTACTGCTGTGGTTTGCTAACAGGTGGCACTTGGGTGTTGTATCATGGAAGGACTGTCTGCTAACAGGTGGCACTTGGGTGTTGTGTCATAAAAGAGCTGTCTGCTAACAGGTGGCACTTGGGTGTTGTGTCATGGAAGGGCTGTCTGCTAACAGGTGGCACTTGGGTGTTGTGTCATAAAAGGGCTGTCTGCTAACAGGTGGCACTTGGGTGTTGTATCATGGAAGGGCTGTCTGCTAACAGGTGGCACTGTGGTTGGACTACAATCTCTAAGGTTCCTTTTCGTGCTTCTGTGCCTGTCACTTGCTAAGTCTGTCCACTATGATAAACACTAATGCCTCTGGAACTGGGAGCTCAAATCCACTCTTGCTTCTGTAAGATGCTTTCTGGCCATAGTGTTTTATCACAGAAATAGAAAATTAACTAGTACAATCTCTGAATAATATTCCAGATATCTTGAAAGGTGTGGTCATTACTTTGAATTTGTTAGTGTCGAATTCTAATACATACACCTTACTTTCAAGTTCTGCTATTCTACTGCTTGATTTTGTCTACTGCTGATGCTACAGAATTACTATGCTTAGTGTATAGGGTTTCCATGGAAACTAATGCACTAGTTTTGACACTCTTTCTCCTGAATTTCACTGAAGTGATTGATGTTTTATTTCTAATTACTTCTAATTATTTTATTTCTAATTATTTCCTGGAATAACAGGAAGTGGTGACCACTTGATGTGGGTGCTAGGAACTGAACTTTAGTTCTAATGAAGAGCAAGAAGCGTTTTAACTGCCCACTCTCTCCATTTCGGAAGTTACAGACATTTCAACTGCATGTTACTATGTTGAATAAATATAAATTACATCACCTCACCCTTTTCTTTTTTTCCTTGCTCCCCTCTAATGACCACGCCCTCCTAATTACTCCAGCACCTTTCATTTCTTCTCAAACTGATAGCCTCTTTTTAAAATTATTGCCATGCCCACCCCACACCCCCTACAGAAATAGATAAATGCAACCTGCTGAGTGGTGTCATGTTGCTTGTGTGTATATGTCCCACATTTTCATTATCCGTTTATTGTCTGAAGGACATTAAGGTTGTTTCCACTTCCTAACTATTATGGATAGAGCAATGGGCATGACTGAGAAGGCATGGATAAGAAGGTCTGAGTAGGAAGTCACAGGAAGTTCACTGGGCTAGAGCCTGGAGAAAGAAGTGGGAGGGCCGGCTAGGTGCAGTGTGTAATTACAATGTGTTGCATAACTAATTAGGGCATTTAGCCATAGAAGAGATTAATTCTCCCTATTTCAGTACTCATTAACTATATATTGTTCTTTTTAATTATGCTTTTACATCTTTAAAAACATTTATTCTTAAAATGGTAATATTTTTGTTAACATTTAAAACAGTATTTTTAAAATTCCATACAAAATATTTGAATCCTATTTTTTCCTTCCTCCAATTCATCCTGGATCGTCCCTTCTGCCTGACTTGCTGAAGTTTGTTTTCCCTTCGCTCTCTGTCTTTAAAATTATTTCACAAAATTAATATATAAACAACCAAAAACAAAAAATTCCCTCTAACAAACATACATATAAAATCCGTGGAATTTATTTGGTGTTGCCCAACTACAGTTGAACAGTGACACTCTATTAGAGAAAACAGATTTTTCCTTTGATGGTGGGTATAAATTGCAGGTAGTTTCCAGGTTAGGGATGAGAACCTGTGTCCACTCGACCAGCTCTGTGCTGGAGCCCTATTTTGCTTGGAGCTGTGCACATTTTGTGTGTTCTGTCACAGATTTTGAGTTCATTTGTTCATCAGTCCCATTGTGCTTAAAAGACACTTTCTGTCTTTCGTTTCATGACAGAACCTTTTATATGCTAAAATTTTGTCATGATTAAATATAGTCTCTTTTGTATGCCAGGACTGTCTATTCCCATTGTAGGATATTTAACATGTGAATATGTGCTATCTAGAGATTTTCACACTGTGAATGAGTTATTACCACATTGATCATATGCAGTTATATATGATGGGTAAGGAAACGAAATGTTGTTTTCCATGACTGAAGTTTGTATATGATGCATTCTGCATTCTGCACCTATAATGTGGAGACCATAGTAAAAGGGCACACTTACTATTGCATGTCTAAATCTTATGGTATTGTGGACAAGAAGACTCTTAGAAAATTTTTGAAATTAAGTATAGGGAATCTGACAGCCTTGATAGTTGCCTTGAGAGGCATGTTTCATTGGCTTTTCAGGTTAGAGACCTGGGCCACTGTGTGCCTTCCTGTTCCTGAGAAACTGATGCACTCTCTCATACAGTAAAGCATTCAGGCTGCCTTGTTTCTCTGTGTTCTCTAGAAGTCAAAGCATATAGAACCTTTGCTGGAAAATTAGTCTTAAACATTATTCTTGTTTGCCCTGTATAACTCGAGTGATTCAATATAGCCTGGCAACTACCATTGTGTTGATCCTGGCAATGTCCATTGTATTTTGATTCTGTAAGGGTATGAAAATCTAATTGCTTTCAATAAACTTGTCACAGCCTCAGTCTTGCTGTGATCCTTCCAACATGACCTGGTTAAGTTTATTTCTCATTGGCCATATCAAGTAACCTTGACTTGGTATGTGCTGACACTTACAATGAGGTACATCAAAAGCTGAAAGAAGCTTCCATTCAGTAGTTGAAGTGCTGTCAATGAGAAATGGTTCACACAGAATGAGTAGATTCTATTTTGCAAACACATATTCACTACTGTACAGTATTAACCTTATTGTAACATTATCAGAGTGATTAAATTATGTAACTGGGCGAAAATGTGGCTAATTCCTCCAAACTCAATGAAACTTTTGTATCAATATTTCTTTTATAATAAACAAGTTATCTTTTATAAGACCATATTTCCTCTTGTTCATTGTAAGTATGTGTTATGTATAAGTCTTTTGGTGCATTTCTGTAATTCCATTATACAGAAGGAAGAAAGTAAGAAATGTCCATTCAATTTGAGAAAATTGTATTTGAGGATCTTTCAAATAGAATAAGATCTATTTCCCAAGCACATACTCCCCATACATGATTATCAATCTAATGTACTGTTTCAAGAAGACTTAGAGATTATTACCAAACAGAAGTTGTAAAGATGTGTCATTCTTTGACATTTTAAAATTTGCAGACAACTTTATGGGATTAGAAAAAACCATCTTGAGTGAGGTAAACCAGACCCAAAAAGACAAACATAGTATGTACTCATAAGTGGATATTAGATGTAAATCAAAAGATAACCAGTCTACAACCCTAGAGAAGCTAAGTTACAAGGAGAACCCTAAGAGAAACATACATGGATCCCCCTTGGAAAAGGTAAATAGACAAGATCTCCTGAGAAAATTGGGAGTATGGGGTGAGAAGAATGAAGGGTACAAGGGAAAGAGGAAGAGAACATGAGGGAATAGGGTGGTCTAGATGAGGCAAGGACAGAAAGGGAAAGCAAGGAAAGAGATACCTTGATTGAGGGAAGCATTATAGGGCTAGCAAAAAAAACTTACCACTAAAGAAATTTCCAGGAATTGACAAGGATGACCCCAGCTAAGACCCTAAAAAATAGTGGAGAGGGTACCTGAACTCCCCTTCCCTTGTAATCAGACTGATGACTACCTTAATTGTTATCAAAGAACCTTCATCCAGCAACTGATGGAGGCAGATGCAGAGGTCCACAGCAAAGCACTGGGTCAAGCTCTTAAAGTCCAGTTGAAGAGATGGAGAAGTAATAATATGAATAAAAGGGTCAAGACCATGATGGCTATACCCAGAGAAACAGCAGACCTGAACTAGTGGGAATTTGCTGACTCTGTAGTGACATTAGGGGAACTTGCATAGGACCAAACTAGGCCCTCTGAATGTGGATGGCAGTTGTACGGCTGGGGCAGTCTGTGGAGACACTGGCAATGGGACCAGGATTTATCCTACTGCCTGAACTAGCTTTTAAGGGCCAATTCTCCTTAGAGGGATACCTTGCTCAGCCTAGATATAGGGGATATGACCTTGGTCCTGCCTCAAAGTGATGTGCTAAACTTCATAGACTCCCCATGGGAAGCCTTATCCTCTCTGAGGAGTGGATGGGTGTGGGATGATAGGAACACAGCAGGAGCAGGAGGAGGGAAGGAACTGGGAACTAGAATTGGTATGTAAAATGAAAAAAGATTGTGTTAACAAAATAAATTTAAATAAAAAATGTGTCATTCTTTCAGTCCATGAGAACATCAATAAATAACCCAACTTAAAAATTTGAGTATAGAAGTAAACAAAGTTCTCAAAAGATGAAACACAAATGGCTGAGAAATACTTTTACAAATGTTCAACATCTTTAACCCTCAGGAAATGCAAATTAAAATTTCTTTGATATTTCATCTCAGCCGTTAGAATGGCCAAAATTAATAAAACAGTATATGCTTGCAAGGATGTTGGCAAAGAGGAACATTTATCATTCCTGGTGTGAGTCCAAACTGGTACAGCAGCTATAGAAATCAGTGTGGAGGATCTTCAAAACCTGACAATAGATGTAGCACAAGATTCACTCTACTACTTTTGGTGACATGCCTAAAGTACTCTGTATCTTACTGCAGAGATTCTTGCTCATTACATTTATTGGTGATCTATTCTTGTTAGCCAGGAATTGGAGTGAATCTAGATAGCCATCAACTGAAGAATGGATATCGAAAATGTGATACATTAATTATGGTTAGAATCCACTTATGAGTGAATACATACCGTGTTCCTCTTTTTGGGTCTGGCTTACCTCACTCAGTAAAGCGTTTTCTATGTCCATCCATTTGCATGCAAAATTCAAGATGTCATTGTTTTTTACCGCTGAGTAAAACTCTAATGTGTATATGTTCCACACCTTTTTTAACCATTCTTCTATTGAGGGGCACCTAGGCTGTTTCCAGGTTCTGGCTATTACAAATAGTGCTGCTATGAACATAGTAGAACAAATGCTTTTGTAGTATGATCGGGAATCTTTAGGAGCCTATTATTCGTGATCCTAGAGAAGCTAAATAAGAAGATGAACCTGATGAAGATTATTTAGCTATCCACCAGGAGGTAGGAAATAGACAAGAGTCCCAGGTAACCTCGGGTGCATGGAGGGGAGGGAGGGTCGATGGAAGGGGAGAAGGTTAGAGAGAAGGGAGTAGGGGAAGAAAGGGGAAAGCTTGGTGGCCTGGGATGGGGGGGGAGGTAGGAAGGATGAATATGGGATCAGGGAAGATTATATTTCAACTAAGGGACCCATTTTAGGGTTTACAGGAGACTTGATTATATATGGGATCCCAGGTCCAAGGAGAGATCCCCCAGATTGCTCTCTGGACAGAGGAGTGGGTGCCTGAATCGGCCGTGGCCCATGTCCATACTGATGTATATTTTGCTTATCACCATAGATCCTGCATCTGACGAAGGACGGCGATACAGTCGGTGACCCATATTGCAGCACCGGACTGAGCCCCCCGAGGTCCAAATGAGGAGCAGAAGGAGGAAGAACATGAAAAACGAAATCAGTACTGCGAGGGATGCTATCACCCACTGATACAAGGGAACGGATCTGATGAGAGTTTACCAAGGCCAGTTGGACTGGGACTGAAAGAGGACGTGATCTAACCAGACTCTCCGAATTTGGCCGGATTCTCTGACCGTGGCTGACCCGAAGTCTTTCTGAAAAGCCATTGACTATGACACTGGGACCTGTTTCCTCTACATATAATGGATTTTGGGGATCCAGTCTGTTTGGACACTCACCTTCCTGGACCTGGAGGGAGGGGGAAGGAACTGGAACTTCCCACAGGGCAGGAAACCCTGACTGCCCTGGGGGACGAAGAGGGAGGAGGAGGGGGAGTAGGGGGAGTGGGAGGGTGTTGGGAGGGGGGGTGGAAATGGAAACTTTTATAATTTAATAAAATTTACAAAAAAAAAAAAAAAGAAAATGTGATACATTAATTGGTTGTTAAGAAAAATTTTAAGGTAAATGCATACCTGAAAATTGAGGTACGAGTCTAAGTGAAGTAACCCAGACCCAGGAAGAAAAAATACCACGTATTTTCCCTTATGTGTAGATTTTAACTTGTAAGCTTTAGATACATGTGTTTCACTCAGAATATTCACAGAGGTTATGGAGCTAGTAAAAAACCGTGAGAGAAGGGACTCTCCACAAAAACAGAATATAGTCTTAAGAAGGAATAAAAGGAAAATGAAGACTATTAAATGGGGAGTAGAATGGGAGGACAAACAAAGATGAGAGGATGTTGGAAAGGATAGATGTTTAACACTAAAGGCTTTAGAAAAGCTAAATGAAAATACTACTCTAGAAGATACCTAAGTAAATATTTATATAAAAGGAATTTAAATGAAGTTACCACATAGTTGAGAAGACAAAAATACACAAAAGGACATTATTTACTTCCAAATAAAACTCCCAATATCAAGAATGGGTTACATCCATTTAAGTCATTGGCCAAAATGTTCCTAAAAACACTCACTCCAAATATTACAAGCTATTGCCAATTCTGTTGATAATTCTCCACAACCTAGTGTTAAGCTCCTATTGCTGAAGACATGACATATTTGTGTCATAGAACATAAAAAAAATTGAGCCGGTTCTCAACTAGAAGCTTCAACTCTACTTAGTAGCAAGTATATTGCTACAAGATACTATCTAAACTACCAGAGTAGAAAAGTAAACAACAGTCGCACCCAGCCACAAATCCTATAGGCCACAATAGCAACCTGTAAGCTTGCTGTCTACAGGATATATACACTGGTACAATAGCGGCACAAATGGAGTAACCAGTCACTTCTTGATTATATTTATATCTCATCTCATGAGATAAACTTATACCTGACATTATTAAAGAGGCCAAGAACCTGAATCTAGATTTTTCATGGACTGTAGGGGAAATTTTACTACAATAATTCTGCTAAACAAAGACAACAAAATGACTGCTAATGACATATTTCTATATCCATAGAACAGTGCATCACTCAACCCTCATCATAGAAGCTTCTTATATAAATGGTAACTGAAAAAGAGATCCATAACTGAACAACATGCAGAGAGTAAGAGAAGTACTCAGTCATAAATGGGATGTTTTCATCGAAGCCCTCCCCCTCAAATCTCAGGGACCTATGTGGAAAAGCAGAAGAAAGATTCAAAGAGCCAGAAATATTGGATAACTCTAAAGAAACAGCATCTTACATGGTTCTTCTATTTATATGTTGCTTTCATTGGTTAATTAATATAGAAACTGCTTGGCCTGATAGGTAGGCGGGGTAGACAGAACTGAATTCTGGGAGGAAGAAAGAAGGGTGAGAGAGAGCCACCCGCCATGAAGCTGCCAGGTCAGACATGATGAATCTTTCCCGGTAAGCTACGAGCTTATGGTGACATACAGATTATTAGAAATGGGTTGAATCAAGATGTGAGAATTAGCCAATAAGAGGCTAGAACTAGTGGGCCAGGTAGTGTTTAATGAATATAATTTGTGTGTTCTTATTTTGGGGTATAAGCTAGCCAGGCAGCTGGGAGCTGGGCAGCGGGAAGCGGCCCATGCTCCTTTTACTACACTTCCAGACACAAGACTGATATGTATATGAACTTTAAAAAACTATGGGAACATTCACAGACCTGTACAAATTCATGTCAGACAAAAATCTCAAAACATAGAAGAGGAAGTGTACAGAAAGTCCCAACCCTAACCAAGAAACTATTTGCAACTGATAGCTGCTTGGAGAGGGAAAACCAGTTTTCTTCAACCAGTAACACTGGGCATATCAACCATTCTAAGGTAACCCTCATGATCAGGAATAGTTGGCCAACACAAAATAGATGCCTTGGTGTGTGTGGAGGTGTC